TCAGCATGGCCATGCTCCATCTGTACCCATGTTCTTGGGGTCCCACCTGCATGACAATGGCAGGCAAGGCTGACTGGAAGAAGCCCTGATGGTCCATCTCAGGTTCCTCTTCCCTGAACCATTCCTTGAACTCCACCTCCAGGGTCCTCTGCATCCACTCGAACACACTAGCCTGCAGAACAGACACCCACCACAGGCAGCCCAAGAAGCCAAGTACAGACTCCCTGGCTCATGGTCCCTGTCAGAGCAGATGCTTGGCTCAGTGGGAGTCATTGGGTCCCTGTCCTGCTCACTCACCTTGACTTTTGTCACATATCTCCTCTCTGTCTGATCCACAAGCTCAGAGGACATCAAGGGATCCAGAGCAGAAACATCCACTTCTGGGAGGAGGTCAGGGTGACCCATCATCTCTGGGCTGGAGGGCAGAGGTGGGGCAGGGTTGGGAAGGCCTGTTTTCCAGGAGTTCCTACCTGTCCCTCTGACCTCCTGGTCACCATCCCCTGGCAACCAGAGACACTCTCCCAACCCATCCATGAGCTGGTGAACAACCCAGCTCTCCACAACATCCCTCACTTGGTTGGTGCTGTGGTTCCTGCTGACCTGTGGTACACACGGAGCGCCCACTCAAGGAGAAGGAAGAGTCCCTGTTTGTCCAGGTCCTCCCGCAGGATCTCCTGGAGGTGGCTGGTGAGGGCCTGGTGGTAGGTGGCAGTGCAGACGCTGAGGATGTTGTAGTGAGCTGGGACACACTGCACCATCAGGTCCTTCACCACACGCAGCTCAGACACGATGTCCCTCTGCAGCGCTGCCAGGTGCTTGGCCAGCCCTGGCCCCTCAGCATCCATGCGGGGAGCACGGAAACGGCCTCCTGTGATGGTGTCCTGGAGGACCTGGTAGAACTTCTGCCTCCAGCCCTTTGGCCGGCCGGGGGGCAGGAAGGTGGCCTCCAAGAGCAGAGTATCATCTATTTTCTCCTCCCGCTCGATGATCCTCACAGCAGTGACAAAGAGAACGGGGTCCTCACGCACCAGCCGCAGGCTGCTGCCCACAATGTCCCACAGCTGCTTGGCCAGGCTCTCGTTGAGGTCCTGCAGACCACTAAAGTAGGACAGCACAGTTGCCTGGGCACCGGAGAGCCCACGGAGGTGCAGCTGGGAGAGGATGTCATCCCGGAGTTGCTCCACCATCATGAGCTCCACGTGGGCCTCCAAGAGATGCTGCCCATGGAGCAGCTGCAGGATATGGGAAAAAACCTCGTGGACTGTGGGAGAGGGAGGAGAGATACCAGCACTGAGTGTGGAGATGAAGGGGTTTGCACCAGAGATGCAGGTTATCAAGGAGATGGTGAGGGGAAAGGTCTGGGGCTCTGGGAATACCACTGGATCAGGCCCTGGGGAAGCAGGGATATCTCCATTCACCCAGCTGGCAAAGCCTGAGTGACCTGCTCAGGCTTTACCACCAGCCCTGCACAGAACCTGTGGCTGAACTGAGGTTTCCCCCAGTGCTTCTCAGCCCAAATTGACCACGACTTGTCCACTGCCTTACCCGAGAAGATCTGGGGCAGCACCTGGACCACCGAGGCCAGCTGCACATGCTCCTCCATCAGCTTCCTCATCTGCTGGAGGCCCTGGAAGTGGTCTGCGCTGTCGAGCAGGGCCCACCGTGCAGCCCCCAGGTCCTGGCACACGCCCTGCACCTCCTGGGCTGCCGACCGCAGCTGCTCCAGCCCTGCACTTACCCCCTCCAGGTAGGACTGGACAGTTGACTGGGGAGCAGAAAAGGATGGGGGGCAGTGGAGCAGCTCCAGGAGGCAGCAGGACTCCACACCATTTGCCCCAGCCCTGCACAATCTGTGTTGCAGGCACTCTCCCAGCCCACAAGGATCAGGGTAAACAGTAATCAGATGTCTCAGCTTTAAAAGATTACTTTGTTTCTGCAAAGGAGCAGTGGGTCACAGGGCCCCTATGTGCCCCCAAGGTATGAAGGACCTCAGTGGCCATATAAACCCTCCTCCCAAATGGAGTGCCATCATTTCCAGCCCTGCAGTGGCACTGGCACATCTCCGTGCCCTATTCACTGATTTAATTCCCGGCTCCTGGTGCCAAAATTCACCAGAAACAAGCTTTCACCGAGGCCTCCCAGACAATTCATCCAGAGTCAGGAGAAAGTTGTGGTGCTCAGACTGATTCAGTCCTGAGGTAATAATTCCTTGGGTCATATGCAAGAGGGGGATGTGGGTGAGAAGGCAGGATTGCAGGGGGACTGGGACAGCCCTTACAGATATGTAGAGCTGGAGTTTTCCCTGTGGAGACCCACAGGCAGGGACAGGTTGGAGCTCTGTGCCTCCTCTCAGCCATGGGGCAGGGCAGCCTTTTGGAGTTTTCCCTGTGGAGACCCACAGGCAGGGACAGGTTGGAGCTCTGTGCTTCCTCCCAGTCGTGGGGCAGGGCAGCCTTAGGGGCTGGGACGGGGCAGTGATGGGGTGTGCTGAGTCCTGCACATGGAATGTGCTGAGCCCCCTTGGTGTTTTATTTTGAAGGATTATCAGAGACACAGAAGACTCCTTTTAACACTTCAGACACTGCCTGGGGGTAAGGCAGAAGGTGAAGGGGGTCTTCTCCCCCCAGCAATTGCACTTCACCCACCAAACACCAGCCAAAGGAAAAGATTTAGTCAAAAGAGGATTCGTGGTGCAAGAGGGGGCCCTGGCAGGGATCCCTGCCCGAGGAGGGGGTGTGGTTGCAAGTGTCCGTGGGATGGACAAACACACACCTTCAGCCGGGACTGGATGGAGTTGTTCCTCTGCGTCTCTCGTCTCCGGTAATGCCCCAGCCCCTCCAGTTTCTCGGGGCGGTAAAACACCCCTGAAGCCCATTTCAGAGCGGCTCCTCTCGCCAGCTTCTCAGCCTTCTCTGCTTCCGGCCACTCCTCGTCTGGGGATGAAGCCAGGGGTCAGCGAGCACAGCCGAGTGGGGCAGGAAGGGCCCCTGAGGGCAGAGGCAGGAAGCTCGCTGCCACTGGACTTCCAAGCACACATGGATGTGGGAAGCTGGGCAGCATGGCACCAAGAGGGTCCTTCTGCAAGGCCCCCCCAAGATGCCACCACCATGGGGTGGCACAGAGGCTGTGGCAGCAAGAAGCAAAGCTGCCCTGGGGTGCTGTGACTCAGCCTGCCGGCTCACATTGTCCCCAGGCTGAGGGCACATCCCGGCTGCTCCCCCAGACACAGTGCTGGGGTGTCTGCATGGAGGGGGTCTGATGCCACTTGGGAAGCTGTCAGCAGGGTTGAGACTCCAGCAGTGAGTCAGCAGGAGGGATGGGGAGATGGCAGCTCTCACAGGAAGGAGAGCCAGGCTAAGGTGAGGACCGGAGACTCCTGGTCTCCCCAAAACACCCACAAAGCTGTGTCCCCCTTGGTCTGAAGCCATGCCAAAGAGCTCCTGGCCACAGTGGAGGGCTGAGAACCAGCACAGTTATTACACACCATTCCCAGTCCCCAGTGCCTGGTTTCATCATTCTCCCACCCCATCCCACCCCCAGCCACTCCCTGCAGCCCAGCGGGGCTGTCACCCAGTGCCAAGCCAGGCTCCTGCCCTGCTGGGGAGCCGCTGGCTGCCTTGGGGACCAGGGGATTAGGGAGGAGGACAGCAGCTTTGAGGATAAGATGAGCGGTGAGCAGCACTGCCCCGGCGCAGGTATCACCATCAGGAAGCACAGCCAGGCTGCCGACCCGCAAGGACACACGGCACCAGCCCCGGCACAGGGAAAAGGTCCAGGAGGGTGGAGGGGGTGGTGAGGCAAAGGGCGGGGGAATCCCCAAAATGCGCTGCAAGCAGCAGCAGCAGCAGCAGCAGCAGCATCCCTTCCCTGCCCAGCTCGCCGGCTCCCCGGGGAGCATCACCCCCGTTACCTCTGGGGCTGGCGGCGCGCTCGTCCTCCGCAGACATGCCCATGGTGTCCGGGCTGTGCGAGCTGCGGGGCCAGGGCAGGGCTGCGGAGGAAGCCGGCTGCCGTTTCCTCAGCCGGAGCAGCCGCGCTCCTCAGGGCCCCATTGTGTTCCCGCAGCCGCGCTCAGGACGTCAGGAGCGGGGGGCGGAGGGGAGGGGGGACACGGGAAGGCACCGCCACAGCCGGAGGTCTGGGGAACGGGAGCCACGGAATCACAGCAGCGTTTAGGTCGGAAAAGCCATCTAAAATCATCGAGTACAACAGCTAAGTGCCAAGCCCACCACTGAACCATGCTCCTAAGCGGCACATCCCCACGCCTTTTTAACGCGTCCAGGGATGGTGGCTTCACCACTGCCCCGGGCAACATTTTTCAGTGCCTGACCATTCTCTTAATGAAGAAATTTCCCCTAATATCCAATCTAACCCTCTCCTGACTCAACCTGAGGCCATTTCCTCTCGTCCTGGAGATCACACCCTGTCTACCCTCGCCGGCAGCCCCGGTTCCCGGGACTCTCAGCGCTGTCCGTGCTCGCAGCGCTGTCCCCTCGCAGCCACCCTGGCTCGGGAGGACAGCGGGGTGTCACAGCCCAGCCCACCCACAGTGCGAGCCCACTCGAGGGTGGATGCAGCACGAAGGGATGCGCTGTGCCAGCCTGAGCCGGCGGAACGTGGGGATGCGGGCTCCATGGCTGCGGTTGGACCTGGAGATGTGTCCCTGCCACAGGCTGCCTTCCCCGGGCACAGCCCGGAGGATTCCCCCGGCACTGGCTGTGCTGGAGCAGCAAACCGCCCCTGTCAGCGGGGCGGTGAGAGCTGGGTGCATGGCCGAGGTTTGGCTCCGGTAGCACAGGGCGGGAGTTGGACTTTGGCACCGCAGAGCGGCGCGGGGATGCACGCACCCCTGCCTTGACCCGCGGGGCCCCGAACCGACGGGGCTGACGGAACCCCGGGAGAAAGGCGGAACACCTCCGCACCCCCGGGGGGCGGCGGGGGGGAGTCCCCCGTCCCCGCCCCGGCGCCGTCCCCGCCCCGGAGGTTCCCGGGGAGCCCCGCGGCCCGGAAGCGGATGCGCGGCCGCGGAGCCGGCGGCGGGCAGATGGCGGAGTGCGGGGCGCAGCCCCCCGGGGGAGGCAGCGGGGCTGCGGGCGCGCCCAGCCGCCACGAGAAGAGCCTGGGGCTGCTGACCACCAAGTTCGTGTCGCTGCTGCAGGAGGCCAAGGACGGCGTGCTCGACCTCAAGCTGGTGCGGGGGCAGGCGGCGGGGGGCGAGGGCTCCGCCGGCCCGGGCTGGGCTCGGAGGGAGCGGCCGCCGGCACAGCGGGGCTCCGGCCGCACCGGGGCTCCGGGGCTGGAGCGGGCTTGGAGGGGGACAACGGGGACATGGCAGCGCCCGGTGCAGCAGGTGGTTTAGGCTAGATTCCAGGAAAACCTTCACTGCGAGAGTGGTGAGGCACTGGTGGAATGGGCTGCTCAGGGCAGCGGTGGAGTCCCTGTCCCTGGTCAGAAGGGTTCTGGATGTGGTGCTCAGGGACGTGGTTCAGTGGCTGGGATCGATGGTCCTGGGGGCTTTTCCAGCTGTACTGATGCTCTGTTTCTAGGTGCACGGACAGCGGGGTTCCTGGGGGTGCACAGAGGGCTCTGCTCTGGCCGCCCTCACAGCCCCTCCTGCTCCTCCTTCCCAGCCCCTCTCCCCACCCCATCGGGTTGTCCCGGGCACTCTTCTTTCCCCAGGACCTTGCCATACATTGCAGGTGTTTGTGTGCTTCAAGCTGCAGAACGGTTTGATCACCTTGTTCTCTTCTGTGTTCTTGCCCTGTACTTGATGACTGGCACCAAAGCCTGAGACACCGACAGAAACACATACCTATAGAAACTGTCCGTACAGCACTTAACCCTCCAGGAGGGGGAGTGTGGTCAGAGTCACCTGCCAGAGGTTGTCCCCCGTGCCTTTAGGCAGTGAAGTGCTGCGTGCATGCATCTTGCTTCTGTATTTTTGAGATCTTCACCTGGAGGAAGTAACACTGTGCAATGTATAGTACTTAATCTCTGGCCTTTCCTGTAGGAGAAGTTCCTTTGCTGTGGTTTATATAATCATCTCTTATGTGGGCACGTGTGTGAGACAGACAAGTGCCAGAAAGCCCCAATAATGCAGGGCTGGAGGAGTTTTCTGGCTCCATGCCTGTGACACATTGTTTTCTCATTGGATTTGACAGTATCCTTGTGCTTCAATGTCCAATAAGGGAGTTTGCATTGGTCAGTGTGATTTATGCAGTTGTATGGTGTAAGGTCTCCAAAATCCTCACTGGTGGGTGACAGGGACATGGTTCCTGTGCTGACCTGCTCTGTCTGCACTGCCACTGACATGGCTGGTCCTGGCTGTGCACACATTAACTCTTGCTGGTGGCAGGTTGCTGTGTGGTAGTGGAAACAGTGCCGTTCCTTGAAACCTGAGAGGAAAAGGGTCGTGTGAGCAAGGCAGGGAAGCCCCAGGCTTGCTCATGGTAACTCTCCACCTGGAGTCATGTCATTCAAACAGAGGAATCTCTTAAAAATATATTGATTCTTTGTCAAGTGGCATCAGATCAGCTTTAGAACTTGTGAATGTTGATTTCATTGAAGGGTTGCACAGACAGATCTCAGCATTGCCCTTCCCATCTCCACCTCTACCCTGAGGGAGCACTGAATTTTTAGGCTGCTGAACTACTGTTTTCTAGCACTGCTTTGCTACTGGAGAATGGTGATTTTTAGATCCACTGCAAGCAGGAGTGCTGGAATTTGGTTTGTGTTTAGTGGGGGGGGCTGTGGGGTAAGAAAAAAAGAAGAATGAGTGACTTCTCATGGTCATATGAGATCAAGAACATGGCTGTGTAACTTGAAACGCTGGAACAGGAGAGGTATGAAATGGGGAGCAAAGTACTTGGCCAGGAGTTCATCTGCCAGGCAGAAGGGAACTAAACATGACTGAGAGTTTGGAATTAAGTGTCTTAACCTTTTTCAGGCTGCAGATACCTTGGCTGTGCGACAGAAGCGACGGATCTATGATATCACAAATGTCCTGGAAGGCATCGGGTTGATTGAGAAGAAGTCCAAGAACAGTATCCAGTGGAAGTGAGTGGCAGAGATGGTCTAAATCATTCACAGGTCCCTTCTAGGGCAGGTTTCAGTGACAGTGGGATTAAAATGCCCTGTGCAGAGGGAGGTTCCTCAGTGGTCCATGCTCTTGCCTCCCCCAGCTGGGGCAAGATGATGCCACAGTGAGGAAAGCTGAAGTATGTGTGGTGTCTCTCTTACAGCAAAGGTGTTATTTTGGTAGAAATTAAATATTTGCACTGCCTTGGTCTAGAAAAAATACCTTTCATGGTACTGCAGGTGGGGAAGAGTCCTGCCAGACTGTGGGAAGTAGAAAGATGTACCAAACATTGCTGTGCTGGGAGGTGGGGATCTAGAGTGGATGCAGACATGGCTTTCCAGGCAGTCTGGCATTGATGTTTGACACAGATGGGAATAAGAGGCTGGCAGAGAGGTTGGGGTTGGTCTGGGGGTCTCCAAGGCTGATATATCTCACCCATTTTTGCTTTACCCAGGGGGGTGGGTCCTGGCTGCAACACACGAGAAATAGCTCACAAACTGATTGAGCTGAAGGCAGACATTGAGGACTTGGAGCAGCGGGAGCAGGAGCTGGAACAGCAGAAGATGTGGGTTCAGCAGAGCATCAAAAATGTTACAGAAGACATGCAGAACAGTCGATATCCTTTGTGTGACCTGATGGCTCTGTCTCCGTGTTCACTTGCTGGGCTGGGATGCAGAGACCTGAGGGCTTGGTGGGTGCTGAGCTGTTGCTGCTGGAGAAGCTGCACTGAAAGGGTCAACAAAAGGCAGCACCTTGACTTGAAATTAGGGTAACTGTCCAGCCTGGAGACCTGCTTTTCTCTGCATCCAGCTCCTCCTCTGGCTTTTGGAAGTAAAAACCATAGTAATGTTTACCACAGTGAGAAAAGTGCTTCTTTCTGAGTCACAGGTGCCACTTCCCTGAGTGCAGAGCAGCTCTTGTGGCTTAACTATCTCAGGATGTCAGCTCTGATGGGCATGGAGCTTGCAGACCTCACCTGCAGACCACTTCAGAGTGTGGCATGGAGAGCCTTCTGGGAATGGTGTTCCTTGTGCTCAGGAAGGAAACACCAGGTGCCCTTTGAGCTCTCTGTCTGTGCAGGAAGCTGCAGTGTTTGTCCTTAACCTTGAGAACATTAGCATATGTGACACATGAAGATATCTGCAAGTGCTTCACAGGTGAGGAAATGCTCATTTTCAATGAGCTGCATTATAAAGATGTGATGCTGCAGGCCTCTCAGTCTGTCCCAGCTGCTCTCCTTTCTCCAAGAAAGAGTGGGCAGCAGACTGGGCTGGCCAACAGCATCAAGCGAAATGTAATGTCAGCTCTGATGCTGTCCTGGGTTTGTGTACCACTGAGCTATAGCTTTCTTGTCTCCATTAGAGGGGACAGGCCATATCTTTTACTTGTGCTTAAAGGAATAGAGGTGTTGTTCCTAAGAAAGTCTTCTTGCTGGTTTCACTGTTGGGTGTATGTGTGTTATGTTAGAAGCCCTTAATTTTAAGGGCTTGGGTGGGCAGTGTTCTAATAACAGGAAACAAATTTTATTTCACAGTAGAAACCATGGTGTAAGCAGGGAAATAGTATTAAAGGTGGTCCCTCAGCTGCATCATTTCCCCTGCCAACAAGAATGCAGGAAGGAGACAGCAGAGGACAGAAGGGAATGCACCAGTTTCTCTGCTCTCACTCCCTTCATTCCTAAAGCTGGGGGGGCCTGTATCAGAAGTCCTGTGTTCTGTCCCTGGGCAAAAGTGAAGAAAACCCACAGGAGCCTTTGTAATGACAGGTGTAAGAGCAGATTAATGCCTGGTGGCCAGCAGGCAGTGGGGCAGCCTCAGCTGTAGTGGTGTGGAGTCACAGCTCCTTTCTGCTTCAGCGGGTGCCAGCACTCTCCTGACCTGGCAACCTGCTTCTGCTTGGTGGCTGCAGAGATTGAAGCTGTTTACCCTGGCTGCCTCCAGCCATGCATAATCTCACCTGTGTCTGGCTCTCCTCGTCTCCTCCAAGCACTTTTCTCACCCTGCACTCATCAGCTGCTCTGTTTGCTGTCGCTGCCTTTGTGCTTTCCTTGTTCACCAAGCTGCTGCTGGTGTAACGGCTGCATCAGCACCCCTTTGGCTTTGCTGTTTCTTCTGGTTGAAGCTGCACTTTTGGGGGCAGGGATTGTGTTTTCAGTTTGACAGTGCTGGGGGCCAGATCACTCGTAACAGTCTGGAAGAGTTTGCTGGAGACCAGCAGACAGCTCATTGCTTGGCTGGTTGAGTGTTTTGCATTTCATTGCACCTGGTTTTTGTAAACCACTTTGTGTTTGAGGTCAGACCTCACCAAAACATGCAGAGATTAGATCTTACTGAGGGTAGATGTCAGTTCCCTCCAGAATTGAGGCTTTCATCCATGGTTTTCCATTGCCTGTCCAGTTTTCCTGTATGAATATGCCTTACATGACTCTTTTTCCTCCTCTGAGCACCTGAGCCTTACAGAGGTTCTTTGGTTGGACCTCTTGTGTTCTCAAACTGTGGTGCAGGCTGAATTTCAGTTCTTGGTTTTTCTAATTGACTGCTATTGAATTTGCTTGCTCCAAGATTTCCACTCTTGGACTCTTGTCAAATAGAGATTAATTTAAAAAGAAAGAAGTAAGAATATGTCAGTTTTTAGTGGGAAACCTAATTTCTGCATCTGTTGCTGTGATGCATTTTGCACTTGCAGATTCAAAAAGGAAGTGGAAACCTACTGGGTGCTGTTTTGTACAAGTATTTGGGACATTTTATCAAAGGAGATACAAACCCAGCACCTGTGTCTGAAACTCACAGGTCTTACAGCTTGAGCTGGTGTCTTTGAGCTTTTTTATGCATTTTAACTGTCTTTTACATTTTTCTTAAGTGTAGATTTGTTAAACAAGTCCCATCCAATTGACAAATCCCATGTTGTTTTTAATCCCTTTACCTTTTGCTGATCTGACTTTTGATTGCCAGCCTGAAATTAAGGGATTTGCTTTTCTGCTGTCCACTTTCTGTCATCACTCTGGGGATATTCTGTGTTAATTGTCATGTGAAGCTTAATCAGAATACTGGGGAATTGTGAATATTAACCACACTAAAGCTTAAACATTCAAAGTGAAAGCTGCAAGCTGCTTGATCTAAATATGTCAGATATTCACAGCTCTGGTATTTCTCTGTTCATGTTTCTCTAAACCCAGATACAGGCTGGCAGCTGCTTGCCTATGATTGTTATTAGGGTGCAGGTCTTAAGGAACTGCAGAACTTGAAAGGAAGGATGCTGTCAGCCTGGCTTCCAGCCCCACATGTGCTGGGCTCTGTGGAGGGAACAGTACAACCAAGGCAGCTCTGGCCAGTAGAGACTGGGGAGTGCTGGTTTCAGGTGTTGGGACACCAGCCTGAGGCTGGCAGCCTGGCTCTGAGCCTGGTTCTACCCCATCTCTCTGCTGCAGTGCAGTTTTTTTGTTTCTAATTCACCCTAAAAGCTTGTGACAGCAGAGTGAAGGATACTTCCCTTAGGATTCAGATTTCCTAAGAGTAAATTTCCAGTTCTTCCAAGGAAAAGAGAAAATAGTCTTGATGAAGACACTGCTAAAAAACTTCAGGGTTGCATTGGGAGAAGCTTTGCAGGTTCTTTGTGCCCTGGGCCACTGGCACATTAGGAACTGTATGATGTGCTTGGGGTGCAGATGTCTTCCTTCCAAGGAGGATTGCCAGGAGAGTGGGGGTGTTGAGGAGGGGCTCTTCATCAGTGCTTAATTAACATCACAGCAGCTTGTGCCCAGGAGCCCTGACTGCTTCTGTTTCCACAGGAGACACCCTCCTTGTGATTCGAGCCCCATCAGGCACACGTTTGGAGGTTCCTGTCCCTGAGGTGAGTGATAAATTCATGGGCAGAGTGCAGGGGCTCTGTGTCTGTGTGTACATGTATGTTTTGCCTGTGGAAAATTGATGTGCTATTTGGAAACGGTTTTTAATGTAGGTCTGTGTTTTGTTTTTGATTTTTTCAGGGCCTAAATGGACAGAAGAAATACCAGATCCACCTGAAGAGCACAAGTGGTCCCATTGATGTCCTCCTAGTAAACAAAGATACTTGGAGCTCTCCTCCTGTGGTACTCCCCGTCCCTCCCCCTGAAGACCTCATTCAGTGCCAGGCAGCTGCACCCTCGAAACCGCAAATCCCACCACTCGCCCACTTCCAGGAGGCCTCTGTTCCCAGCAGCACCCAGCCCTCCACACCAACACCCACCAGCACTCAGGACCATGGGCCTCCCACACAGAAAAATGCAGGCACAGGTGAGAGGGAGCTACAGGAGGCAGAAATTGGCTGGTGGCTGGTAGAGCAGGGTACATTCCTTGGCCGTGTTGGGGCTGGCACTGCTGGATGCACAGCGTTGAGAGCTCCTGGCAAAGGGGCATCTCTGCCTTTGCTGCTGCCCTTCCTTTGGCCTTGGTTAGTGGGACTGGTTGTGCTCAGGGAGATCAGGCACTTGGCTTCAGGGGGTAGTGCCAACCTGTAGGGGAGAAGCTGGTCATGCAGGTTCATTGATCAGCAGGAAATATGTCCAAATACGGACCTGGAGGAAAGCAGTAAAGCTTCTCCCTGTGCGGCTGCCTGGCCAGCACTGCCAGTGAGGGCTGAGTGTGTGCTGCAGCTGCCTTGGGGCTGGTGGAGATGACATTGCTGGGTGTGTGTGTGGTGTTCCCAGAGTGCGATGTCCCGGCGGCAGAGTCCAAGGGCAGCGGTGACTTCGAGGGCCAGCCGGCGTTGGACACGCAGCTGCTGCAGTCCTCAGCCTCGCTGGACAGCAGCTCTGTCCTGCCCAGCACCTCTACCTCCTTTGAGCCCATCAAGCCCGACCCCACAGGAGGTGAGTGTGCTGCTTGTTTCATGTGTTGCTCCGAAATCCTGCCGCTGGGAGTGAGGGAAAGGCTGCTGGGCCTGGAGGAAGGAGCTGAACTCCATTCTGCCTTTGCTGTCAGCCAGAGTGTGGGAAGGATGAGTAGGCATTGCCCTGTGAGGCTGCCAGGAAACATGGTGACAAGATGACTGTGTCCTGTCTAGTGTCCTGCTGCTTTCTGTGACATCAGTACTAGGAAATCTGCAAGGGACACCCTCATGACACACGTCTCTGCTGTAACATGTAGGGTTATTCCCTCTCAATCCTTTCTGTAGAGTAAGGTCCTGTTTTTGAGACTGGATGAAGCTGCAGAATTTTCAGCCACCACTGAGAACACCTTTGTAACTCAGGGAGTTTTCTCTTTTAGGAGAGCTCTTGTCTTCCTTTTCCTCCTTTGCTCAGGAATACTTCATCTGTCTTTAGTGATCTTGTGTCCTTAGTGACGCTGCAGTATATGTTTGGGGAGCTCCTTGATGTGCTTTAAGAAAGGAACCCTGGAGTGTTATGCTAGGGAATGGCAGGCTGGCCCAAGGAGAGAAAAGCATCCTCTAGGTAATCCACACTGCTGGAATGTTTTGAAGCCCAACTTCCCTGCAGAAACACTCAAGGTTAGGTTGTGGTTAGAAGAAGTCTTATTCAAATACAGCTCACCCAGTGCTTTTTTCACTTCTGCTGCTGGCCTGTCTCAGAGCAGCATGAGCTGTGGAGTCATCTTGGTTGTGGAATTAGGCCTTGGATGTGCATATATCTTATCACTGTGCCTCTCCAAAGGCATGCCCCCCATCCTACACAAGGTAATCAAGGCAGTGTACTGGGTGAGGTTTACAGACACAGCTGCTGACTGTGATAACATGTTCATGTCCCAGGGCTCCTACAAATTTATGTTAAAGTAGTGGAGCTCAAGTGTTCTGTTGCTTGTCATTGCAGCAGAAATACCTGACATGGAGTGTGGGAACAGAATTTCTGGATGATTTGGGTGTGTAAGGAGCACAGTAGGTTTGTGGGTGATTCTGCTGTGAAGCATTTCAGACTCTTCATGTAATGATCCAAACCATCTGGTTTGTTGTGTTTGCAGTACTGGAACTTCCCAAAGAGCTGTCAGAGATGTTTGATCCAATGAGAGGTACGTTAATTTTGTGACCACAGCTTTTTTCTGTGCCCATCTGTCCACAGAAAAGGGACAATTTGTTTGATTCGCTCCCTTTTGGATTGCTTTGTGGATGTGGTTTTGTAAGGTGCTTGTGGTCATTGGTGGCTGCTGGCCCTCTACTAAAGAGTAGTTAGGCACTTTTAAAGTTACTGGTTCCTGTATGTATTTTTCTGTCTCCATGTTTCCAGCAACCTCTGTTAGATCTTGTCTGCAGTGCACCAGCAAGGGCTTTCCTGTCCCCATGCTGACACTAATCCATGTTCAGCCTTTCCATGCTCCTCCTTCAGCTTGTCAGCAGTATGGAAAAGAAAAATCCCTGCTAAGTCTTGTTTCAGCTTTAGCTGCCTAAGGCTAATCCAAACATATAATCAGGGGAGATAGTGTTCTCTCTTCAAAATACTTCTCAGTGGTGGTGGTGGAGGAGCTGGTAATTCTGGAGCAGTAGGGGAGGGAGATGCTGTTACTTGTGTTTGGAGTTCTGACTCTGCTCAAAGAATATCTGTGGGTTGCTGCCTAATGCTGAGACAGTCTTTGGGTTAAGGGCAGAAAAGGTGAAGGAATTTGGTGTTGACATAAACCTAAACTGGGAAACCGTATCAGTTCATTTATTTCTCTTCACTGCTGGTCAAATACTTTGTAGCCCTGCAGCCAGGCAGGGCCAAGTACACCCAAGGACCTCAGTGGTGGTCACAGGAGATGTACAACAGCTGTCCTCAGTTCCATGTTCTAGCAGATGCTTTGTGAAGGTGCTGCCTTTGGGTAAAAATCCCCACAGACCCAAACACAGACACATGTGAGTCTCCAATGTGTGTGCTCTTAGCCCTGGGCTCCACAGTCAGCCTGGAGAACATCCTTCCTCCTTGCCCAGCACCTCTGCTGCAGATAGTGGATGAAGTCTTGATGATGTCTAAGTACATCTGAAGAGTAAGTTTGAGTTCACAATGTGAAATATGAACTTCTGCAAAGCCCCACCCATGTAGAAGATCTAACTTACCCAAAGTAACTCTACTGTGTCACTATGTGGACGCTATTGTAAAGGAGATGTTTCCTGTCTATGGTAAAGTATGTGGTTTTATGGAGTATTCTTCCCAGTTTGGAGGGGGAAGATAAAAAATCAAGGAGCAAAGGACAAAACAGAGCCAACAGCTACAGAGGCAACACTTAGGACTGGAAGAGAGCAGCACAGCAGAGCTCAGAGGAACGGTCCTTGCAGCACACTCCATGCAGCCTCTCATCCTCTGTGTGATCCCAGTAATGTTGCCCTGGCACTGGCAGCTGCTTTAAGGCTGTGCAGTCTAAGCCACAGGAGCTGGTGTTCTCTCATAGTGTTTTGTGCTGGAATTACTTTTACTACACGGCTTTATCTCTTTTAAGCACAAGCTTCCTTTCACTGCCTGCTGCACATGCTGTGCCTTAGCCAGGGAAGGGATAACAAGGGTGGGGAAAGTGGAGAACTACTCAGGAGCAGACCAGGAGACTGTTTTGCTACCATGGACTGTTTTGCTACCATGCTTGTCTCTTCCCCAGAATGTGTGAACTCTGACCTGCTGGAAGAGCTGATGTCATCTGAAGGTGAGTCTCAGAGTCTCCTGTCATGGTGTGGCCTTCCTGGGAGGAAGACCATGCTGTGTGACTTTACCCAGCTGGCAGCCTTGTGACTGCAGACTCGCCCTCATCTTTTCTGGGCTCTGGACACAGACTCAGTTCTTGCTGTCCTGCCAGTCCCTGAGAGAGCTGTGAGAGCCAGAAGTCTCTTCAGTTCTGTGAGGCTGACTAAAGCAACCTCAAAGACTGTTCTGTGAGGTGGCTGCGCTGCTCAGTGCCATTGGCAGCTCTCAGCTGGGGTGGGAGTGCTGAGTTTTGTAACCAACCCTGGGCTTCTCTTTCCCCAGTGTTTGCTCCCTTGCTCCGCCTCTCCCCTCCACCTGGAGATCATGACTACATCTACAACCTGGATGAGAGTGAAGGTGTCTGTGACCTCTTTGATGTGCCTGTCCTCAACCTCTGACTTCTCAGTGCGGCTGTGAGCCCTGCAAACACGGACTGTTTTGTAACTCTTTGGAAAGTATCTATTTTTGGATTCCTTTTGTGCTAGAGCTCGATGGCCAAGTAATTCAGAGATGCTCTCAAATGGACTCAGAGCCAAGAGATGTGGACTTGCAGGCTGGGAGCCTCCCTGTAGTTTGCTTCTTCCTCTGGTGCACGTGCAAGATGCACGTGCAGCTTTCCCCCCGCGTCTCTCCACTGGATCCTGGGCCTCACTTCAAAGGGTCTGTGTTTTGAGTGTTCCCAGCTCACCTGCAGAATTTGCCCACGTGCCTCTCTGAGCTTCCTCCAATCTGCATGCCTTGGTTTCTCCTGCACTCCCAGAGGCACTTTGCACCTCCTAGGTACCAGCTGCTACAAGGAGCCCCAATACCATGGTCAGTTCACAAGCCCAGACGTTGTTTGTTAGATTTCTTCGTGTTAGTGGTTGGGATTGGGGTAGTTTTATTTCCAAAAGGCATCAAGAGGAAAAAAAAAAAAGGCACCAAAGTGTCTATTTCTTTCAGTGACTTCAGACCAAGCTAGTATGTTTTACAAAAAGCACATTTTTTAGCCAGCTGTGCCTCCTGGTGGGATTCAGGAGCTGAGCACTCCTTGTAGGACCCAGGAGCACTGAGCCTTTCCCTGCTGGTGCATCAGCAGGAATGTTGGATCTGCTTTCACCAGCCTTCTGATGCACAGCCCCAGGGGCTCCAGCTCCTTGTCCAGCAGCTGTGCTGTTTCTACAGGGCTAAAGCAGAGGTGCCAGTATGGTTTTGTTTTTAGTTTTTGGTTTTGTCTGACTGAAGAGATGTTTCAAAGGATAGGACTGCTTCAGCTGGTGCCTGTAAGGTACTCCAAGGACATCAGAGCCTGCTCATATTTGCAAATAGCTGGGTTTTTCCAACCATTGCACTTGAACTTGCAACTGTCTGAAAGGTGACCAAGCAGTTACAATTCAGTAGTATTTTGCTGTGACAGGTTATGTAGGTGTTGTCAAAATAGTGAGCTTTTTTTACCCCTTTTTCTCTCAGGATCAGGTTTTCTGTATATTTGAATTTGCTCCCTTAGTGCCCATACCCATGTTCCCAGTTCCTGATCCTGTAGCAGGTCTTTACCTACTGTGATGCTTTCTCTGCATCATTTTTTCTGCAAGATTTTCTTCATTGTTTTGGAAGGTCTGCTGTTGGCTTCTTTAGGATCATCAGCTGGTACCAGGCTGGGACCTTGTGCAGTTTAGTTGGAGTAAAAATGTCCTGATGAAATTTGTATTGTATTTTGCAAGCCCCATCTTTGGGTTTTGGTCAGGTCTTGTGAGTGTCTTTAGTTTTGCACGTCTTCCTGCCACCACAGTGGAAGCAGCTGTCCTGCCTTTCCTGCTCTGCAAACTGCTCAACAGAGAGCCAGGCCAGGCCATGGCTGGCTGCTGCAGACAGGGAGCTTCCAGCCGTCCACTTAAACAGCTGATGTTTAATTTCTCTGCGTAGCTGCTCACTGCCTGTGACCCACACAACCAGCTGCAGCACCAGCACTAAGGGATATAAAGCATCAAGAGCCTGCAGAGGTTAGAAGTGTTGGGGATCTGTGTCCCGGAGTGGCTCCTCGGGCGCTCTCATTTTGCATGGGACTCCTCCACGAGGACTGTTCGTTTCTGCAGTGACAAAGCACTGGCAGCCTCTTTGGGGAAAGCATGAAGAACTCGGGAGGAGCAGTGGACACTAGTTTGGCAGCTGCTGCTGGCAAGACAGCTGAGGTGTGAGACCCCTCTGGGGGGTGAACTTCCAGCCTGCATGCTGCCTGTCCCTGAGCCTTTCCCTCTCCACATGGAAGCTGACCGGAATCCCTTGGTCCTGCCTGCTAACAAGGCTCCATGGCTTTGGTGTAGCTCGAGCTCTTCACGTACTGCCTGGCCCTTGCCCTCCTTCCCAGTGTTCATGTCCACCACCAGTTAGACGGCCTCCCGAAAAGGATACCTAGAGAAAAATTTACAGTTGCAAACGAACTTTTGATTCATATATAAAGATTATTTTTATACTTTTTTTTTTTTGCAAGGGAAGAAAATTGCCTGTCATATTTGTACAGAGTGTTCTCTGACGTGAATAAACAAAAACTTTCCAGAGTTTCTCACCTTGCCCCAGCCTGTGCCTCCTCTCTGCCCCAGCCCGGGGGATGGGGTTCCTTTCGCGGCAGGAGGCCGTGTCCTGCTGCCGGAGGTGGGTCCTGCCACACCCGCGTCAGCTCAGGTGAGGGGGCCGGGCCTGCCCGGGGCTGGGCTGGTGGCACAAGGCCTCGCTGCGGCGGCCGGGCCCGCCGTGAGGGGAGGCGGCGGCGGCGGCAACCCGGAACTGCCGGCGGTGCGGAGCCGCTGCGGGAGCCATGCCGCCGCCCAAGGACGTGGTGAAGATCGCCATCCAGATGGTGGGAGCCATCCCGCAACTCATCGAGCTCCAGCAGGTACTGCCCGGCCCCCCCCGCAGCCCTCCCCGCGCCCCCCGCCCCGCCTCACGGCCGGCCTCCCTCTCGCAGACCAAGCCGCTCGCCTCGGTGCTCAAGGACGTCTGCGATGCGTGAGTACCGCTCCCGCTGCCTGCCAGCCGTGACAGCCCACGGCCGGGCTGCGGTGACCCGCTGGCTGCCGGCACCAGCCGAACGGGGCTGTGACCGGCCGCCCGTGGCCGCAGGTGGAGCCTGCCCAACGCCGAGCGCTACGCCCTGCAGTACGCGGACGGGCGGCAGACCTACATCACCGAGTCGGTGAGACAGCCCCCGGCCCCCGCGCCCGCCGCTGCAGCGCCCACCGGCTCACCGGCTCCTTTTCTCCTTACAGAACCGCAGGGACATTAAGAACGGGAGCATTTTACGGCTGACCACCTCCCCGGTACATCCCTCTGCCCCCCTGTCTCCTCTGCTGTGTGTTGTGGTGCTCCGTGCCCCTGCAGTGGGGTGCTCTGAGCCCTCTGCCTCTGACTGCCTCTGTGACTTGAGCTCATGATGGCTCTTCTCTGTGCCTCGGACCCAGCAGAAATAATACAGACAGGAGACATGTCTCAGCCTTCATTTTCCCTCAGCAGAGCTTGGGGGAGTTTGAAGAGAAACTAAAAACATCTTGAAATACTTTAGAGATGGGGGCCAACTCATCAAGTGTTCTAGGTGTCATGCCAGTTTGACCACCATCCTCAGCTCCACCTGGTCTCTGCTCTGGTGGCTCTGTTTCTTGGTCCAGCTCCTTACTGGGGCTGCTCTAGGCTGAGGCTCCTTCCAAAACTTTCACTTCAGCTCTTAGAGCCACCTTCAAGTTTCTCGCTGTCTTTCAATGAGCCCCTTTGGCTTGATTCTTTCCTTCCTGGTAGGACCAAGAAGCAGAGCAGTTGTATATCGGGATACAGAGCAAGAATGTGGATGTGAAGACTGACTCATTGAAGAAGCTTGCAAGCCTCTCCCAGGATGTTACCTTTGCTCAAGAGTTCATCAGCAGGAATGGCTTGAAGCAAATCTACTCTATTGTAGAAGAAGGGAACGAGTTAGTATCAGGACAGGACTTTACTTGCAGTCCTTGACTTTTCTTCTCCCTTGCTAATGCTGCATGAGCTCCAAGCTGGGTGTTGGAGTGGACTCTCTGTTCCAGACTTGTTGATGCCTGTACTGTGGCTGTGTCCCTGCATGCTGGCAGCCAGGGGAAGGTCCCCACAGATATGCAGTCCTGACTCCTTGTGAATGTGCCCAGACTTGAACCTTCCATCCCTCCTCTGGCTGGGTTATCTTGTAGCCTCATGGGGTTTGCTACCAGGAAACCTCCTGTGATCATCTTGGCCTCCAGTGCTGCTCCTCATTCCTGCCACCCTGAATGATCCCTCTGCCCTGAGGCTTTAGCTTCAAGAGTTCTGCAGGGTTCTTGAGAAAACCCTGGTTGCCAAATACCACTGCCTGTGTGACTCTTTCAGGATGTGATGGTGCAGCTCCCCTGAGCTCCTGTCACACAGAGAATGTGGAACCAGGCAATGCAGCACATGTTTCTTGGAAGTAGAGGGAAGGGTATGGGGTGGGTCAGCTTTCCTGAGGGCTTGTCTGCTGTGATCTTTGTACCATGGTGATTCAGCTTCCAACTACTGAACTACCCCTGCCTTGACTTCCTGGGCAAGTCAACTTCCTGGGATGACTAAGTGAGAGTCTGTTTTCTTACCCAACAGTCTCTTTCCTTTCTCCTGCTCACTGCTCTCTTCTCTAGCTGTTTCTAACATGCCCACCAATGTTGAACTGCAGAGACACCACCATAGGATGGGAGCGGGGTATCTGGTGCCATCCTCACTGTATTTGTTCATCTCTCCCTCCAGTACAGGGGAGATGCTGGCTCACACCCTCAAAGCCTTCACAGAGCTGATGGAGCATGATTTTGTTTCCTGGGAAAATCTTAGTACAGCCTTCATCAAGAAGGTAAAAGTTTTCTACAATGTCCACAGGTTGTGCCTGTGGGATCCCTTGTTATCCTTGTGCTCCAGGCTCAGCCTGCCATTGACAGATGGTTTTGTGTCTCACAGATAGTGAGTTATGTCAACATGAATGCAGTGGATGCATCTATCCAGCAGCTCTCCTTGTCTATCTTGGAGAATATGGTGCCTACCAGTCGCCTCCTCTTTGAGGTGGTCAAAAAAGAAGTGACGTTGGACCGCCTTCTCACCCACCTGCAGGTGTAAGTGGAGAGGCCGGAGCACCATTCGCCCCCATCCTCAGAGCTGGTGACTCCAACGTCCTCCTGCTCTTCCTCCCACAGGACAAATGCCCAGCTGCAGCTGAAGGCGATGGCTCTGCTCATTGCGCTGCTGCTGAGCGCGACCGACGCCGAGCGGCGGGTGAGGGGCACCGTGGCAGGGTGGTGGCACCACAGTGCCCCTGTCAGCGGGGTGCTCTGCTGAGGGCCCTCAGCTGTCAGGACTTTTTGTCTCAAATGACAGAAGTACCACAGCTGGTACTTCAGTCATTGTAATGACCCAGCCCCTGGCACATCTGAGCTCTCAGGGTGGCCCCCCCTTGTGATGGGACCTTGGGCAGCTGGGTCCTCTGCTGTGGGGTTTGTGCTCTTTGGGATGGCAGGGCTGCAAGAAGTGCCCAGAGATGTTTAAAGTCTATGTTCTCACTCTGCCTGCTCCCTTTTTGGGGGGGAGATGGTAGTGTGCTAAGCTGGGGAATGTCTCACAGCCTTTATTTTTCCTAGGACATGATGGACTACCTGCGGGAGAAGAACATCAGGCAGTTTATCCACAAGGTGAGGAGCTGGGGTTGTGCAAGGGTCTGCTCTGCATTTCATTCTCTGTCCTTTCTCCCCAGGCCCTGTCCCCTGAGCCCCAATCTTTGGTGACTGTGCTTGGCTGGGTTGCTTGTGTGCCCCATACCCCCTCCTTGAGAATGCCTATGGGTGCTGCTCTGCTGGCACCCACATGCCCAGGGTTGCACCCTCATCTGCCTGCAGTTCAGTGTACACACATCTTGGCCAACCCCAAGGGGAATTTCCCACTTCCCAACACCCCTTTGAGCAGCAGGACCAGGCTGCTGGGTCCTGTGCTTGGACTGGAAGCAGCAGCATGGGCTAACCTTCTGTCTCATGATCTCCTGTAGAACATTATCCACAGCTCCGAGCCACTGGGGGACGAGATGGCCCATTATCTTTATGTGCTGCAGTCTGTCAGCCTCAACTTGTGTGAGCATCGCATGAAAATGTCCATGGATCCCTACTCACAGGTCTGGGAGTACTCCTTGCAAGTCTGCACCTGGTCTCTTCCACCTGTGGAAGGAGCTCACATTTGGGTGAACCCAACACATTTGGCTTTGCCCTGGGAGAACCTGCTTCTGTGGGGCTCACTGGCATCCCCTCCTCTCTGCTGTCCCTCCAGGAGCAGCGGGATCTCCTCCAGTCCCTGCGCCAAACTGCTTTCGAGTCGGAGAGCGAGGTGCCTGCTGGCACCTTCAGCACCGAGCGCCGGCGATCCCTGTGTGCCAAGGAATTCCGCAAGCTGGGCTTCATGGTGTGTCCCCCCTGCATCCCCTCCTGAGCCCCATGCTGGCTCCATCACATGGCCTCCATCTGATGGCTCCCCTAAGCCAGGTGTCCCTGTTGATGCTGAGGGACCACCATGCAGTACCTCCCTTCTGCTCCCTCGGCACTCCTGAACAGCGAGTGCTGTGGAGCTGCTGGGACTCAAAGGCAAACCCCATGGCTGTGTTGGGAAGACACTGCTGCTTGAAGAACAAAGCAGCAGCTGCTAAATTGCATCCTTTGTGTCCTCCTAGAACAACAGCAACCCAGCAGAGGATCTCCGCCGTGCCCCACCAGGACTCCTTGCCCTGGATAACATGGTGTATTTCTCTAGGAACACCCCTAATGCCTACAGCAGGGTAGGTGCTGTGCTCTCCCAGGGAACTCCCTGGTGGAGAAGTGCTGGTGGATCTCCACCTTCTTTTCCTTTCCTTGTGATCTGTCCTTAGCCACACGCAGGCAAGTGTCCTGCTGTTTCTCTGTTTCAGATGGAGATGAGTCCTTTCTCTGGGTAGGAAAAGCCATTTGAGGCCAGTGCCTCTGAAGGGTCCCCAAAATTAAGGGTTTGCTCACAGCTTGGTTTCCAGGCCTTGAGCAAACAGGGGCAGTTTGGGCAAAACCAGCAGGGCATGAGCCATGCTCCAACCTGCAGTGCCTGGACCAGCTCCCACACTGCCACAAGGGAAGGAGGAGGCTGGGGCTGGATTTTGGGAAGAGTGGGTCACTTGTGTTAGAGATGGCTTCACCTGTTGGGAGGACAGCTTGACTAGGAATGCAGGAGGAGTGTGGAAAGTCTGACACCCACTGTTGGGGCAGCCCTCCAAGTCCATGTAACATGACATTATGGCCTCTTCTGCAGTTTATCCTCGAGAACAGCAGCCGGGAAGACAAACACGAATGTCCCTTTGCTCGAAGCAGCATCCAGCTCACCCTGATCCTCTGCGAGATCCTGCACATTGGAGAGCCATGTACGTGTGCCCAAGCTTGTCCTTCTCCCTGCCCTGCTGCTTGGGGAACAAGCTGTCAAGGCAGGGGACTGCATCCATGTGGCCACCAGGCTGTGGCATGGCTGACAGCATGGGAAGGGGATCTAGGGCTGGGAAATACCC